AGAAATAAAAAGGATAAGAAGAGAATAGAAAGTTACATACTACATGCAAAAAGAAGAATTTTAAAATAAAAATAAAATAAAATAAAATAAAAATGAGAGACTTTACCTGTCCCAAGTATTCATCCATGACAATGATTCTATTATTTTTAGCTTTACCTGTGGCAATGAATTAAGACTACCCCACAAGATAAAGTTTCCAATATCTGCTTTCATAACAAGACCTTTGTTTCTTTAAGACAAAGTTCCCTAATGAAATTATTATCACCACTTGTTTCTCACATCGGACAAGACTTTTCTTCTGCTTTGATGTTTCAAACAAACCTAAAAATCTACACTTCTGGGCAATTTCGCTTAAGGCTGCAAGTTTGGACTCGGCTTATTAAAAGCTCGGCTCGGGCACATTCATTTAGCAAACGAGCCGAGTTCGAGCTCTGTAACAACCCGAAAAGATACCAAAATAATAATAAAAATCTATAAAAATTTCGGCATAACCTCCGCAGAAAATGTCCCTCAACAACTTGTTGAAATACAAAAATAAATGCAATGGTCTCACTGGGCCTTAAATCTAACTTATCCTGTCCCAACGCACAATTCAGATATTATACTATATTTTCAAAATGATTACATACATACAAAAGTCCTATTCCTCCATCTCATCCAAACAAGAAACACATCCGTTACTTTAAGTTACAGTCCATAATTATAGCTAAAAATTTAAAGTCCATAACTTACACCATTTTATCAACTAAACTAAAGTTTCACAAAATATTCAAGATTACATTTACAAAATATATATTAAAGTTCTAATACAAAAGATAGCAAAAGACAGCAAAATAAGATAGATCTCCAAGTTAGTCTAAACCAGTGGTGGATCGTCGTCCGCCACCTCATTTCCGTGTTCTGAAAAATGTTAAAAAAAATAGAGTGAGCATAAGCTCAGTAGGAAGTGTCTAAGACACACTTCTTATATCCCCGTGAATCCCACACAAAGAATGGATAAAAAGGGATGGGGTCATACCATAGGGAAAACATAATCTCAATTACAACGACAAGCATAGTATAAATAACATTCAATCACAAATTTCCCACATGTACCATGAAGTGCAATGTCATGCCTATACCACTCCCTGTTTCCGAAACAATTCCGTTTCAACAACCAAACCGTTAATGTAATCCGACCCAAGGCACCTCCAAGGCGTCACGAAAGGAAGGTTGGTTAACTATTCACGACCACAAGGCACCTCCAAGGCGTCGCATCCGGCCTAATTAACTCGACTACATTCCTTTCTAGACTACACTAACATCACGGACCACTAGGCGCCTCCTAGGCGTCCGGTTTTCGCAACACTTTTAGAAAATATTTTTTCCAAAATTTTTTTATTTGTTTTAACAAATATTTTTCCCCCTTTCTCTTTCCCAATAGATGTATGAATGCTTCATGCTTCAAATCATCAATTTAACTATATGTTTTCATACATTTCCATTTACATCATCATCACAATTTAATGAAAATTTCTAAACATTCATTTCCTTTATTTATTTATTTATAACCATAGCACCCATTTTTTTTCTTCAAGACAATAAATAAATAAATAATCATGGAACATACAACATATCGAACACTAAGCATGCTCATTTACCGTAATGAAAATAGACATGCATATGAACTCAAATAATATATGGAACACAATTATCATTGTAATTACATATAACTACAACAACAACAAGCTAAGTAATTAAAATTTAGCATGCTTAGGATCAAATTTAAGGGGAAAAATTCACCAAAGGCCAAGAAATTGTAGATTAGAACACCCCTACCTCAAATTGATGAAAACCCCCAATTTGAGCCCAAGAACCCTAGAATTTTGAACTCCCTATAGTGCACCAAATGATGATTGGCTCCTATCAAATCGACGGCCTCGACGAGCTCAACAACTTTGCTTCACAATGTTCAACCAAATTCCCAAAGGAAAAAGCAAGATCAATGTTTGAAGTTGCAAAAAGAAAAAAAAATTAAAACTGCCGAGAGCAGATTGGCTGTAGCAAGAGAGAAAGAAAAAATAGTGGATTTGTATAATGGCCTTATGGCCTTTTGTGTGTTTATAACATGGGTGGGGCCCACTTGCTTTATTTCTTTTAATATTATATATATATATATATATATATATATATATATATATATATATATATATTATCTCACAAATATTACATTCTCCCAAACTTTAAAAGATTTCGTCCCCGAAATCAAGCCATACCTGAGAAAGAAAACAACTCTGGATACTTGGAGCGAACCTCCTGTTCGAGCTCCCAAGTAGCCTCCTCAACTCCATAATGCCTCCAAAGAACCTTTACCAACGGTATCGTCTTTTTCCTTAACACCTTCTGTTGTGTGTGAAGGATCTGAATTGGTCCCTCCTCGTAGGTAACATTCTCATCAATGTCCACATCAACCCAACTCAAAATGTGAGACGAATCCGGCTCGTACTTCTGTAACATCGATACATGGAAAACATTATGGACCCTGCTTATCTGCGGTGGTAATGCTAATCTGTAGGCAACCTCTCCTACACGGTCTAAGATCTCAAAAGGTCCAATGAATCGTGGCAACAACTTGCCACTCTTCCCGAACCTCATCAACCCCTTCTTTGGAGAAACCCGAAGAAAAACGTGGTCTCCCACCTCAAAAGATAGCGGTCGTCTTCGCCTATCTGCATAGCTCTTCTATCGGCTCTGAGCTGTAAGCAATCTCTGTCTAATCAGCTTAATCTTCTCGGTAGTCTTGAGTATAATGTCAGGTCCTAAGGCGGCTGTCTCGCCCACCTCAGTCCAACAGACAGGAGACCTACAAGGTCTACCATACAACGCTTCAAATGGAGCCATCTGAATACTCTCCTGATAACTGTTATTGTAGGCAAACTCAATAAGTGGAAGGTGATCCTCTCAACTACCACCAAAGTCAAGTACACAGGCCCGAAACATATCTTCCAAGATCTGGATGGTACGCTCCGACTGGCCGTCCGTCTGTGGATGGAATGCCGTACTAAGGTGCAACGCTGAGCCAAACGCTGCTTGAAGTCCTTCCCAGAACTTCGAGGTGAACTTGGTATCCTTATCTGAAACAATAGCCACTGGAATTCCGTGCAATCTTACAATCTCTTTCACATAAAGCACACCAAGCACCTCTGCATCATCTGTTGCCTTAATAGGCAAGAAGTGAGCCTTCTTAGTCAATCTATCGATAATGACCCATACGGCTTCATTTCCCCTCCGTGACCTAGGAATACCTGTCACAAAATCCATTGCAATCTCCTCCCATTTCCACTGTGCTACCGGTAATGGCTGCAATAAATCAGTTGGTCTCTGGTGCTCGGCCTTCACCTACTGACAGGTAAGGCACTTAGCTACAAACTGTGCAACATCCTTCTTCATTCCATTCCACCAATACTGGCATCTTAGATTGTGATACATTTTGGTACCACCCGGATGAACTACAAAGCGGGAAGTGTGAAACTCCCGTAAGACGTCCTCATGACAAACTGTGGGAACAACCAACAAACCCCTAAACCGTAGACCTCCATCTGCATATAAGGTCCAATCCTTCACAGTCTCACCATTGGAAATCAGAGTGTAAATGGCATCCAAATCTTAATCCTGTCTCTGTGACTTAATCACCTGTCTAACAAGAGTGGGTTGAGCCACGAGACTAAACTAGAATGCTGACTTACTGCTATCATCATCATCATCAAAGCAATACAATCCCATTTCAGCCAAATCTTCTAGCATCTTCCATTTCCGAATGGCTAAACTAACCAAAGTCCTACGAGATTTCCGGCTTAAAGCATCAGCTACCACATTTGCCTTACCCGGATGATACTGTAAATCAAAGTTGTAGTCTTCCAAAAACTCAACCCATCGCCTCTGTCTGTTGTTCAAGTCCTTTTAGGAGAAAAGGTATTTGAGACTCTTGTGATCCGAGAACACCTTAAATCTCTCACCATACAAATAGTATCTCCAACACTTCAAAGCAAACACGACTGCTGCTAACTCTAAGTCATGAGTAGGGTAGTTAAGCTCATGAGTCTTTAACTGGCAAGACCCATAAGCCACTACTCTATCATCTTGCATCAGTACACAACCTAAACCATCTCGTGAGGCATCACAATAGATCACATAACCCAAACCACGCTCAGGTATCACCAACACCGGAGCCATAATCAACCTTATTTTCAACTCTTGAAAGGATAACTCACAGGCCTCATTTCATGCAAACTTGATCCCTTTCCGGGTCAATCTGGTCATAGGAGCTGCCAAATGGGAAAAATTCTTCACAAATCTCTGATAATAACCCGCTAGGCCAAGGAAACTCCGGATCTCAAAGACATTATTGGGTTGCTCCCAACTCAAAACTGCCTCTATCTTTGAAAGATCAACTGAAACCCCACCTTCCGAGACAACATATCCCCAAAATTTCACCTCTTGTAGCCAAAACTCACACTTTTCATATTTGGCGTACAAACGGTGCTCCCGCAGAATCTACAACACTATACTCAAATAGACCTCGTGCTCCTCCCAAGTCCGTGAATACACAAGAATATCATCCACGAAAACTACCACAAACTGATCCAAGTAAACGTGGAAGACACGGTTCATTAGATCCATGAATGCCGCTGGTGCATTAGTCAAGCCAAAGGGCATAACAAGAAACTCATAGTGTCCATACCGCGTACGGAAGGCGGTCTTTGGAATATCCTCCCTCTAACCCGCAACTGATAATAACCTGACCTCAAGTCAATCTTCGAAAAACAACTGACTCCCCTTAACTGATCAAACAAATCATCTATCCTTGGCAAAAGATACTTGTTCTTGATGGTGGCATGATTCAACTTCCGGTAATCAATGCACAACCTCAAAGAACCATATTTCTTCTTAGCGAACAAGACTGGTGCATCCCACGGTGACACACTAGGTCGTATGAAGCCTTTCACTCTCAAATCATCAAGTTACTTTTTCAATTCTTCTAATTCAATCGGTGCCATATGATACGGTGCCATAAAGATTGGCGCGGTACCAGGCATCAAATCAATAGCAAATTCCACCTCTCGGTGTGGAGGTAACTCAGTCAAGTCCTCCAAAAACATATCCAAAAAATTGCGCACAACCGCTAAATAATCAACCCCATAAGACTCAACGTCATCATCGGTGAGAAGACTAGCCAAGAAGAATGTCTGCCGATCCTGACCCCTAACACCATAAAATGAATGAGTGAGACGATCGCACCGATCTCCCACAAAATAGAAACAATCCCCATCCGGGGTACACACTGAAACTCTACTCCTAAAACAATCAATAACAGCTCTGAAGGATGACAACCAGTCCATCCCAAGAATGACGTCAAATCCCGTCATCTCGAGAAGGATGAGATCGAACTCAAGAACACATCCGGCAATCGTGATGGAACAACTCCTACAAACTCTACCAAGAATAACTGAATCCCCAATAGGTGTGTCAACACAGAGCGGTCTGTCTAACTGACTGACCTCCAAACCCAATGCCCGTGCAAATGATGAAGAAATGAATGAATAAGAAGCACCGGAATCAAATAATACACGTGCCCAAGAATGGGACACAAGAAACATACCCCTGACAACTGAAGGACTGGATGGTGGCTCAGCTGGAGTAAGTGCAAACACGCGACCCTGGGTCCTCTGCCCCTGAGAACCGCCTTCCTGATAACCAGACTGCTGAGTGGGTGCACTCGAAGAAGCTCCCCTACCAGGTCGAGAACTCTGGGCTGACATAGTTGGCTGAGACGGCTGAGGTGGTGGTGGTGGTTGAAACCCTGACTGAACTGTGGCAAACTGCATCTGCCTCTACTGTGAACCTCCACCTCTGCCTAAACCACTGCCCCACTGTGGACAATCTTTCACCCTATGGCCCTGTTGGCCACACCCGAAACATCTACCAGATGCCACCTGAATCTGAGTACACTGAGACTTGTGATGCCCTGGCTACCCACACTTGAAACAAATCATCTGAGCTACCTGTGTCTGAGTGCATTGGGACTTGTAATGTCCCAGCTCTCCGCATCTAAAACAAGTAACATTCGGTGTAGAAGACCCCATGGATACTGGAGCTGTGGGGGCGGATCTGACTGGCTGCTGTCCTCTGAACCCTGACTGCTCATGCTTCTGCTTCTTACTTGATTGACCCTCAGAGAAAGCACTCATACCCCTGTTATGCTTATAGGATTCCCTGATAGCCTTACTGTCCCTGCTTTCATCCTCAACTACTAAGGCCTTTCGCACTGCTTTTGCATACTCTGTCGGTTCTGAGGCAATTACAATTGACCTAATGGTGAGATTAAGACCATCAACAAGCTTCTCTATCTTTCCTTCCTCATCATTAGCAATCCCCGGTGCAAACCTCAAAAGCGATGTAAACTTATTCTCATACTCTGTAACTGTCATGCTTCCTTGCTTCAACCCATCAAACTCCTTCTTTAGTTCCCTCCGCTTGGGCGCCGAAAAGTACTTCTCATAATACAACTTCTTAAAAGTAGCATATGTCATAGTATCCAGATTATGGGTGTGAGAAACGGTCTTCCACTAAATCTCAGCATCGGCCACAAAATTGTAAGTAGCTAATGTAATCTTCAACTTGTCCATTGCCAAATTCATGGCATTAATATGCTTTTGTACCCTATCCATGAAACTATCCGCAACAAGCGGATCTGGACCGCCTTCAAACAGAGTTGGCATCAACTTCACAAACTTAGCAATGTGGTAAAGAGTATCATCTAACTCATTTTTCTTTGGAGGTGGTAGTGGTGGTGGTGCCGGTGGTAGCACAAACTGTGACGATGGTGCACCTGTCGGTCGATACGCATCAAAAATAGCCGCCTGAATGGCTAACCTCAACTGCTCCCTATTTATCTGAAAAGGTGGGTCAACGGTCCCCCTCGCTTGTCCCTCTCTTGGTGGGACCAAATCACGCAATAAGATATCTTCCTCAACTTGCTCCGGATCCCTTTCCACGGGATTGGAGCTAGAATTTTCCCCGGGATCCCTTTGTAGTGGCATGACGCTATAAGAAAAAGGAAACGAATCAATAACGATGACACTAAAATACGCACGAGAACGGAATCCTCACATGAATGACTTGACAAAAATGGAAACACATAAACACCTTCCTTGCTCCCAAAATACCCAACTAATGAGAAACAAGATCATGCTAATAATATGCAACAATACTAAGCACTTAGCACGTACTCATCTAAGCAATTAAACAATTAAGCGTGCCTTTCAAATAATTAAGCACCTTAACACATATTAACACATAAGCATATAAGCATACAATCACGTAAGTAATTAAGCAAGTAAGCAAATAACTCAACTCCCTATGCAATCCTAGGTAGGCCTCTACCCGTCGTCCTAATGATATTCGAACCATCGCTCTGATACCAAATTTGTAACAACCCGAAATGATAATAAAAATCTATAAAAATTTCGGCATGACCTCCGCAGAAAATGTCCCTCAACAATCTGTTGAAATACAAAAATAAATGCAATGGCCTCACTGGGCCTTAAATCTAACTTATCCTGTCCCAACGCACAAATCAAATATTATACTATATTTTCAAAATGGTTACATACATACAAAAGTTCCGTTCCTCCATCTCATCCAAACAAAGGACATATCCGTTACTTTAAGTTACAGTCCATAATTGTAGCTAGAATTTTAAAGTCCATAGCTTCCAACATTATATCAACTAAACTAAAGTTTCACAAAATATTCAAGATTACATTTACAAAATATATATTAAAGTTCTAATACAAAAGATAGCAAAATAAAATAGATCTCCAAGCTAGTCTAAACCAGTGGTGGATCGTCGTCCGCCATCTCTTTTTCGTGTCCTGAAAAATATTAAAAAAAAATGGGGTGAGCATAAGCTCATTAGGAAGTGTCTAAGACACACTTCTTATATCCCCGTGAATCCCACACAAAGAATGGATAAAAAGGGACGGGGTCATACCATGGGGAAAACATAATCTCAATCACAACGACAAGCATAGTATAAATAACATCCAATCACAAATTTTCCACATGTACCATGAAGTGCAATGTCATGCCTATGCCACTCCCCGTTTCCGAAATAATTCCGTTTCAACAACCAAACCGTTAATGTAATCTGACTCAAGACACCTCCAAGGCGTCACGAAAGGAAGGTTGGTTAACTATCCACGACCACAAGGCACCTCCAAGGCGTTGCATCCTGCCTAGTTAACTCAACTACATTCCTTTATAGACTACACTAATATCACGGACCACTAGGCGCCTCCTAAGCGTCCAATTTTCGCAACACTTTTAGAAAATATTTTTCCCAAAACAATTTTATTTGTTCTAACAAATATTTTTCCCCCTTTCTCTTTCCCAATGGATGCATGAATGCTTCATGCTTCAAATCATCAATTTAACTATATGTTTTCACACATTTCCATTTACATTATCATCACAATTTAATGAAAATTTCTAAACATTCATTTCCTTTATTTATAACCATAGCACCCATTTTTTTTCTTCAAGACAATAAATAAATAAATAAATAATCATGGAACATACAACACATCGAACATTAAGCATGCTCATTTACCGTAATGAAAATAGACATGCATATGAACTCAAATAATACATGGAACACAATTATCATTGTAATTACATATAACTACAACAACAACAAGCTAAGTAATTAAAATTTAGCATGCTTAGGATCAAATTTAAGGGGAAAAATTCACCAAAGGCCAAGAAATTGTAGATTAGAACACCCCTACCTCAAATTGATGAAAACCCCCAATTTGAGCCCAAGAACCCTAGAATTTTGAACTCCCTAGAGTGTACCAAATGATGATTGGCACCTATCAAATTGACGGCATCGACGAGCTCAACAATTTTGCTTCACAATGTTCTACCAAATTCCCAAAGAAAAAAAGCAAGATAAAGGTTTGAAGTTGCAAAAAGAAAAAAAAATTTGAAACTGCCGAGAGCAGACTGGTTGCAGCAAGAGAGAGAGAGAGAAAATAGTGGATTCGTATAATGACCTTATGGCCTTTTGTGTGTTTATAACATGGGTGGGGCCCACTTGCTTTATTTCTTTTAACATTATATATATATATATATATATATATATATATATATATATATCTCACAAATATTACATTCTCCCTAACTTTAAAAGATTTCGTCCCCGAAATCAAGACAACTATTAAAAAATTACCATTCCGTAATTTGAATAGCATGAAATTATTTACAAGAAAAATAAAGAACATTATTGTAAGTTAGATAATACTTCTTGAACAAATCAAAATTTTTATACATTTTTTATAGAATTTTTTTTAATGAAAAAAGGCTGTAAAATAAAAGTATTTCCTCCTCTGATAAGGTTTTGTTTGGTCATATATTAATTTATACGAATACAATAATGATTTCTTCTCTACGTGAACTATACATCAAGATTACCAATGCTTGTCAACATTGAATCAGACGGATGAAATGTAACTACAGATGACAACAACTACTTGTCTTCTTTTCATTTATATGTCCTAATTAATAAGTAAATTTGGCTTTCAGTTTGAGGCTACCAGTACAAGATGACAGACAGTGCTGTTTTGGATATTCTCTCGGAGAACATGAGGCAGTTAATAAACAGCAAGGACGAATTGATTGTCAAGGCTCATATAGACAAGCGCAAAATTGAGGGGCTTTATGAGGAGATTCGGAGGAGAAACGATATGAGCATGAGAAGCTGAATGCTATTGTGACAAACATAAGAGACCTCACTCACTGGGTTGAAGATATAATTGACGGCTTTCTCCATCAACTCATCAGCCACAGACAGAGATACGATGCTGTCCGTCAGATAATGGGCAGATCAGAATTGTTTGGGCATTTTGTATTGTTTTTTCTGATAGGATATGAATGCTTACTTGGCTGGTCTATCACTACCAGTACTCACCAATTATCAATTCTCATCAATTTCTTTCTCATGATTCTTATTTGTTTACGCTGGTACTTTGTCATGGAAGAAACTAAGTTAATCAAGGTGCTGATAAGGAAATGTGTTGGTTTCCTTGAATATCTCAGCTCTTTCAGTTTTCTTGCGTTTATGATTTACTACATTATCACTCATGAATCCACAACACCTATCATCAACATGCTGATGCTGAAATGGTTGGATTTCCTGGTTCGTTTGCTTGTATTTCTTGTTTGTTTAAGCTGCGGCTACTATCTTCCTTATGGATTTCCATATCGGATCAACGTGCTGCTAGGGAAATGTTGTGATTTGTTATTTCTTAACTTTAGCGGTGTCCTGGAAGAGATTACGTTAATCAGGACACAAGTGATGGAGATTTATGAGAAGAAGATGTATGGCATTGGCATCATAGAGGTCCAGAAAATTGGGAGGCCTTCTAATGGAGCTTCATCAAGACCCATCAGTCCAACATTACAGGAAGAAACAATAGTGGGTTTCAATGATGAAGCAACGACAATAATGGAGCTGCTTACTCAAGAATATGAAAAGCAATTAAAACTTGTGTCAATTGTTGGAATGCCTGGACTCGGTAAGACAACTCTAGCCAGAAAAGTGTACAATCATCCTCTCATTCAATATTACTTTCCTATTCGTGCTTGGACTTATGTGTCTCAAGTGTATCGGAAAAGGGATTTGTTGCTTGCCATTTTTCGCTCTGCTTTCCAATTTAGATATGAAATTTGCCATATCAGCGATGAGAAGTTAGGTGAAGACTTGTACAAACACTTGAAAGGGAGGAGATATATTCTTGCCGTGGATGATATATGGAATGTGCACGCCTGGATGATTTGAAAAGATATTTTCCCAATGACAAAAGCAGAAGTAGAATTATATGCACTAGTCGGCATGAAGGTGTGGCTTTAGCTTTGCATGCTAAATTTCACCGATTGCGTTTTCTAGATGAAAATGAGAGTTGGGATCTATTACGACTGAAGACATTTCGGGAAGGTAGTTGCCCTCCAGAGTTGATGGAAACTGGAAAACAAATTGCCAGAAAATGTCACGGACTTCCCCTTGCAATTATTGTAATATCTGGGCTTCTTGCAAAAAATGACAAGACACTTGAATGGTGGAAGCATGTTGCTGGAAGTGTAAGTTCATACATTGTTCGTGACCCTGAGAAATACATGGACACATTAGCACTAAGTTACAACCACTTGCCTCTGCACTTGAGACCATGTTTTCTCTATTTTGGAGCATTCCCAGAAGACTATGAAATCCCTGTGCGAAAATTGATATGGTTGTGGATCGCTGAGGGATTCATATGGAAAAATGACGAGAAAAGGTTGGAAGAAGTGGCAGAGGATTACTTGATGGATCTGATTGATAGAAGTCTTGTAACTGTTTCCAAGACAAGGTTTAATGGTGCAGCCAAAGCATGCCGTGTCCATGATCTCTTACATGACTTGTGCTTGAGAAAAGGTCAGGAAGAGAATTTCCTTCATAAGTTTTCCAAAGAAGCTTACCCAAAGAGTTTATTAATGGAGATTATTCTAGAGGCATATTTTTGGTGGATTGACAGATCTCATCCTTCAATTATTGCAACTACACAACGTTGCATATGAGTTCATTCTAATGTTGCTTATTTGACTTATTCAGAGAATTTATCTTATGCCAATGCATCCAGAGTCCGTTCTATCTTGTCCTTTGGCCCTTCAGATTGGTGGAATAACTTGTGTCTAATGAATGCGCCATTCATTTATCAAGAATTCATACTTCTTAAGGTTTTGAATTTATCATCCTTCCAAATTCCTTCATTTCCATGGGAAATTTCACAGTGAGTTCTTCTGAGGTATTTAGTGCTTCAAGTTGGAAAAGATGCATATTTACCCCCATCAATATCCAACCTCTTGAACCTAGAAATCCTTATTGTTGAAGGACTAAAAGGGTCGTTTGTTTTATCACATAATGTATGGAAGCTGGTAAAGTTGAGGCATCTCTACACTAATCTGCTCATTGAAATACAGGGAGTACCTGATGATGGCTTCTGCTTTGTTTTGGATGGCCTACAAACCTTGGGCAAGCTGCAATCTTTATAGTGGAGACGAAGAATCCTTGAAATGGATTCCCAACCTTAACAAACTAAAATGTTATATAAGGAAAGGATTGAATGGCGATGATTATTTTCCAAAATTGGACTTTCTGATTCACCTTGAAACCTTGAATGTGATATCCAGTGAGTGCAATAGGTTTTTCCGTCTGGATAATTTCCCCCCAAGTCTAAAAAGTCTAACTTTATCATATGTCGGTCTAAGTTGGGAGCAAATGTCGACCCTTGGGAGATTACCTAACTTGTGGTTCTCAAATTATTAGATGAGGCATTTGAGGGACAAAGATGGGACACAAATGGAGAGTTTTGCAAACTCAGATTTTTGAAATTTCAAGGTTTGGATATCAGGCAATGGTATGCCTCCAGTAATCACTTCCCTAGCCTTCAGCGACTGGTATTAGAGGGATGTGCATGGCTTGAGGAGATCCCGTTTGGTTTAGGGGATATATCTACACTAGAGGAAATTCAGCTGCGGAATTGTAGTTTTTCTCTTGAGAACTCTGCCAAAAAGATTCAAGAAGAACAAAGGAGCATGGGAAATGATGAGCTAAAGATCCAAATCCTTGCACGCAAGATGGAATACTGAGCTGATGATCTTCGAGGATTCTGTCCTTTCAGTAATGTCCTTCTAATAATTGTAAGAGCTTGTTTCTCTTGTTTTCTTTCGTTCTTTCTTTTGGAATTTTTGGCTGTGATTTCAACTCCTTCAACTTTATATTTCAACCTTTGTTTGTTATATTTTCACTTTAACATTCATTGTTGCCATAACTAATCTCAATTAATCATTTGGATCATAGACAAAACTCAACATATAGATAGGTTTATAGTTTTTTTCAGAATTTTTATGTGATATATTGCCTCCTAGCTGAAATTATTTAGTTATGCATCTGCGGCAGAGTCCAAGAACTGAATTTATAAAGTTCCTACATGAAAAGTACATACAACATAGTTTTGAATAATATACCTTGCTTCTCTGGGGATTCTGGTTGGCACAGACTGTACTTTGATATTAAACTATGCATTTATATTCAAATTGATTGTTTTCTTGAACTAATCACAACAATAATCTGCAACATTAGTTGTAGAGTTGACACTTTTTATAATTAATCCCTCAGGCTCAGCTTTAGGGGCTGTCTATTTCCTGGAGGGGCAGTAGGAAAGCCATGACCTTAATCATCTTCATATGTGATTCATGTGTGTTTTTCTTTTTGTTTCAGATTGTCCTTCTTCATCCTCTCTTTTCTTTTTCCATTTGTTGGAATCCATGTTTTATTTTGTTCCCGTAATTCTGGGTCCCATGATTAGTGTTTCACTTTATTTTATTCCTTAGTTGGTAAATATAAATACAAGTTCCTACACTCAATTAGAGGTGAGCAATTACACAATTTATTTTTTTTTTCTTTTCCATTTGATCACCTTTTTCTTGTCCATCTGTTATTTCCTTACATGATGCTTTTGATCCTGTCTTTCTTCCTTCATTAGTGGATTTTTTCACTTGGTTTTGTTCTTCCTTTAATCCTCCTTTCTTCAATTATTCTGTCGTTTTTTCAAAATATCATCTTCTTTGCTTCCGTCTTCTCATCATTATATAGTTAAAAATCTGTACATATGGGGTTTTTGTGTAACTCACTGGAATGAATTTGGGGATCTAAGAAAGACGATAAGAGAGTAAAACGAAAAAACGAAATGAATAGTTATCCGAAGTTGGGTATGAATAACCAACGGGCCAGTGACCTAGCGATACCAGACCTCTAACCTCCCAAAGAGAGATAAGGGGTTCAAATCTCGGTGGAGGCATGTGTGTGTGAGTACCAACTAAGAAAAAAAAGTTGTGTACGAATTGTAATGTTCATGATATATATATATATATTAATGGTAAAATATATTTTTAAAAAGGCCATGGGACCCACTACATTCTTTTAACTTTATATAATGAACACAAGGTCATTAGATGATCATCTCTTCCTCGCACAGTACACTGCCTTCCCATTTTCTTATTTTCTTTTTCATTTCTCCACATTTTAAGCCTAGATCAACACCGTATCCTTGTGAATTTGATTTTGCCGCCTAAAGCAAAGTTGACGAGTGCGTTTAGGCCGACATTTTGATCAGAGCAAAGTGTCATTTGGCCACCATTTGGGATTTCCAATTTTGGGCTGTTTTGGGGCTTTTCATCTAATTTGAGGTAGGGGTGTTATAATTCCCGAATTCTTTGATTCTTTGTGAATTTTTTTTCTCTAAAGTTGGTTGTAAGCATGCTTAGTCTTAGTTAATTGAAGGGTTAATTACAATGACACCCCCTGAGCTTTGCCATAATGACAGTCATATATAAGTTTAGCCTTTTTTTAACAATGACACCCCCTTATCAGAATTTTGATCAATTTTTATCCAAACAGGCCCTTAAATGATTGGAAAAGACGAAATTACCCATTAGTATTTAATTGATTTTAATGACAAAATATCAGAATTTTTAAAAGACGCATTTGCCCTTCTATCAAGATCTCACCTAACCCTAAACAAGTTGCGTGTCTGTTCATTCCACACTCTCTCTCTTAACTTCTGGAATGAAGAAGAATATACTTATATTTCATTGATACAAATCGTGATCTGGAGATAACGCAGATGCTGGCCGCCGATAACACATAAGTCGAACAAATTCGAAGCTCGGAGCATGTAATCCAATGCCTTGCTCAGGCCATCACCAACGGCGATTGTATTCCTGCCAAGAACTCCTTACTGAATGGCCCAAACAGATCATCCGCCTTTTGCGGCGGCGGTGCCACTGTCGCTTCCCCTGTTGGTATTCTGCCATATCATTTTTGCTGAACAGAGATCAGTATCCTCGATGACGACGATATTAAGCCCATATCTGATTTTGCATCATCACCAAATCCATTTGCATTTTTACCAGAAGGCTTGATTCACTTGCATCATACCCGGTCTGAAATATAGACCCGAAACTAAAAGGGGAGAACCTGCACTCTCCAATCTCTTCAATGGCTGCTGATTTAAGTACATCTCCTTCGTCAATGGAGTTCTAGTGATATATATGGCCTTGTCAGTTCGACTAGAGAGGAGGCGGGCAATGGTGGCCCATTTGTTACCAAACGGGGCGATGGTTTCCATTAACACTGGTTTGGAAAAAAAAAATTGTGATTAATTTGGGGATGGTTTGGGTAGTGTAGGAATGGATTGGATTGCAATGGTATGAATATATACGCGCGCGTGTGTGTGTAAAATAAAGAGGTTGAAGAGAGGAAAGATGAGGCGGTGTTGATGGCGGCGACGGCTCTATGGGTAGGTGGTTGGTGTGAAAAATGGGTAAATTAGTAATTTCAGTGTCCCATTATAAGTCAAAGGTTATTGAGGTCATTTTACCATGTGTCAGACACTCAAGGGGTGTCTTTGTGAAGGGAGCAAACCTGAGGGGGTGTGATCGTTCAAAAATGAGCCAATTTATATATGGTTGTCATTATAGCAAACTTCAGGGGGTGTCATTGTAATTAACCCTTAAGTGAATGTGGTAATTGTATTTAGTTGTGTTTATGATGATAAATGATATGGTGTGTTAATTGAGTCTATGTACTTGGTTAATTTGGTTGTGATGAAAAGCATGCTCAATTTAAATAATGTTGTATGTTAAATGTTTACCAATTGTTATATAAATTTGAGATGTATTAGTTGTAGAAATGAATGTTTAGAATTTTTTTTATAACATGGATATGATTTTGATTGAATATGTAGACTTTAATTGTTGTGTTGGTATGTGAAAGCATGAAGCATTCATACATCCATTGGGAAGGAAAAAGGGAAAAAGTGTTTTTTTTTTTTTTTTTTTTTAAAAAAAATGAAATCGTTTTTGGGAAAAGTTTTTGAAAAGTGTTTGTGAAAACCCAGACACCTAGGAGGCGCCTAGTGGTCCGTGGTGTTAGTGTAGTCTAGAGATGGGACTAGGGAGAGACCTTAGTGTGGTTGAGCGAACTAGGCCGGATGCGACGCCTTGGAGGTGCCTTGTGGTTGAGGATGGTTAGCCAATCTCCCTTTTCGTATCGCCTTGGAGGTGCCTTGGGTCGGATTACACTAATGGTTTGGAAGTTAAAACGGTATGGTTTTGGAAACGGGGAGTGACATTGCATGGCATGGCATATCATTGGTATACGTGGTGCATTTGGTAGTTGGTTGAGATATGTATGTTTGTTGATGATACAGTGGTTTTACTTAACTTCTGAGATATGATCCTATTCTCTTGCTTTCTATTCTCTATGTTGATTCACGGGGTCATAAGAAGTATGTCTTAGACACTTCCTACTGAGCGTTTAGCTCACCTCATTATTTTTAATATTTTTCAGGATACAGAAAAGAAGTGGCGGACGACGATCCACCACAATTTTAGACGAGCTTAGAGATCTATTTTATTTTACTATTTTTTTTGTATTAGAACTTTAATATTTTGTAAATGTAATCTTAACTATTTTGTGAAACTTTAGTTTAATTGGTACAATGTTGTAAGCTATGGACTTTTAAATTTTAACTACATTTTATGGACTGTAACTTGATGTAACTAAGATGTGTTCCTTGTTTGGATGAGATGGAGGAAGGAGAATTTTTATATGTATGTAATCATTTTGGGAATGTGATATAATATTTGTATTGTGCGTTGGGACATGATAGATTAGTTTTAAGGCCCAGGCCATTACATTTTTTATGTATTTCAACAGGTTGTAGAGGGATTTTTTCTACAGATATTTCAACAGGTTGTAGAGGGACTTTTTCTACAGAGGTCATGTCAAAAAATTTATATATTTTATTATTATTAGTATTTTGGTATCTTTTGGGTCATTACAAAATTGGTATCAGAGTAATGGTTCGAATATCATTAGGACGACGAGTAGAGGCCTACCTACGATTGCATGAGAAGTTGAATCGCATGTTTATATGCTTATGTGTTAAGGTGCTTAATTGTTGAAAAGCATGTATAACTGATTATTTGCTTTATTGCTTTTGTGTTTACAGTTTTAAGAGACATGCTTCCTTGCTAAGTGTTGACATGCTTATGTGCTTAAATGTTAAAATATGTGTTGTATGGCTAGAATGTTTATATATTAATGATTGAAAGCATGTTATACGTGATAAGATGACGAGCTGTAAATATGGGTTATGGCATGTAATTGGTGCATTGTAATGTGACGGACAGTTGAACATGGGTTGTGTAAGTGTGTGTTCGATGAGATAATGATGAGAATGAATGGAATATTTAATTTCATATAATAATTTAATGGATTCATTTGTTAAACGTATGTGATAAGACATGGTTGTGTCAAGGGTTATGCTTCGGTTATTGTGTATATATATATAAGTATGTCTTGTGCATATACTAATTTTCTTATATGTTTATGCGGTCAAGCATAGGATAGTTATGTGAGTTTTGACTTGAGTAGGCGAGGAGTTCGGTTGCTCTAGGGTTGTTTGGGTACCAGTTCTTATCAAACTAATTACTTGGGTTTTAGCTCGTGGATTGAACTATTTGGTGTGTAGTTGTTTTGATTTTCTTGTTGCATTTTGTGCGGTGCTTAGAGCACGACTTTA